GGTCGGACCTCGGGTCGGACCTCGGGTCGGACAGCAGCACGACGTACTGCTCGGGGTCGTGGCCGAGGCCCGGACGGCGCGGGCCACGCTCAGCGTGACGCTGGTGCCCGCGCCCGCCACCCTGGTGGTGCCGATGCAGGGCCTCTGTCCGATGCAGCGCCTCTGCTGCGGCCGAGTCGATGCGGTGCACCAGGATGTGACAGGCCTGCGAAGAAGGTCCAGCGTTTGTTACATTCGACCTGTTCTCAAAACTATACCTCTATAGAAAACCGATCGGGCCCACCCCATCCGAATTCATAATCCATTTTGTTTAAAATATAAAAGCCCAAATGCGTTTTGTGTTGGGGAAAAGTTAAGCGCGACTTAACTAAAATGACTACCCTTTTTTGGCCATGTTTACACCTTTTATCGTTGATTTGAAGTAGAACGATTGAGACACGGTCCCAAAAAGGACTTATTCGGAATCCTGGGAAGTTTTTGGCAATGTAATGCAACTTGACCGCAAGTATTTGAGACAAATGAAGGAGACTTTGACTGCACGGGTCAGGTTCAGGACAAATGTAGTTGAATGCGCTTCAATGCGCGTAGAACACAATGATCGCACACTCATTTGTGTGTGACATGGCGCGCACTTTTGAGTGCTCGAAATGTCACACACTTCTGCAGAGAACTGCAGGCGCCTTAAATGCATTACTTACTGCGCAGTGCGCGTCACCAAATTAATGTGTCACGTTTAGTCCCCATTTCTACGCGCGTTAAAGCGCGCTCCCCCCCTCCCCCGGTACCGACAGCGATGGACACCGCGTTCCCCACCTGGGAGCCGATCTGCAGCACGCCCTCCTGGATGCTCTTGGGGCCCAGCGCCCCCGGTGACCCGTAGACGTGCTTCTCGTCCTCCGGGGACGCGGCCTCGCCCGCGCCTCCCCAGCCGAACCCGGACCAGAACGGACTCGGCATCCTGCAACAGGAGGCCTCTGACTGTCAGCGAACACAAACAGGCCAATGTGATGTCATGTGGCACCAAAAGGGACTCATTTTGAAGACATTTTCATCTCCCCCCCGCCGCTGCCGCGGGATCAGCCAGACCGAGGGGGCCAACACTTCGATTGAGGATGTACACAGGATTACGTGATTACAGGGATTACACGTCAATTTTGAGTGATTACACATGAATTTTGTTGAATTTCTGGATCTAAGACCATTAAATTTGGGCAGTAAGGTAAAATTTAGTGATAATGTTTTAAAGTTTGGTCAAGCATTACACGGAATAGGTCAGGATTACGAAGGGATTACACCCTCATCTGTACACAGGCTTGCGCGAGTGGTGGCCCCCTCGAGCCAGATAGCACGTCTTTCATTTCGCCGCTATGAACCTGGTAAGTTCAGCCTCTGCAAGCTTCCATACCGCCTGCTAGGTAGGCAACATATTCCCCGCGGTGCATGCGTGTATTGCGGAGTGGCCTACCCCGAGTCTCACAGGCGCTGGTGTAGGCCAGCGCGGTGCGACTGACCGTTGCACCCAATAAACAAATGAGTGACTTGATAACTACCTATAAAGTACCTAGTAACTTAGCCGAAACACCCCTAGAGCCCCCCAAACCAACGCTGAAACTGCGCCCATCGCCTGTGATTAGCCGAATGAATCTGAGAGAAACGGACGTGCTTTCTGAACGATCCCTTTCGGGCCCCTTGCCCCCTCTACCTGCGACGGTCAGTGGGTGCAACGCGTGGCCTACACCAGCGCCTGTGAGACTCGGGGTAGGCCACTCAGCAATACACGCATGCACCACGGGCAATATGTTGCCTACCTAGCAGGCGGTGTGGAAGCTTGCAGAGGCTGAACTTACCAGGTTCATAGCGGCGAGATGAAGGACGTGCTGTCTGGGCCGGTGACGTCATGCGGTGGTTCACAATTGTACTTCTCTGCCGCAAGAGTGCGCCCCAGTGCGGCACCCTGCGGCACCCTGTGTAGGGCCGCCCTGAGGGCCGCCCTCCCTCCCGGGGTGGCGTGCCGGCCGCGGTGATTACCGCCAAGGCCAAGGCGCCGCGAGGTCGGGGGGGGG